TTAGAATTAAAGAAAAATTCTGTTAATAGTTGCCATTTCGGATACCTGATCTCAAACCAGGCAAAGTGGGGACCAAAGGGAGGCCCAAACTTTACCTGTACGATGACCACTTGTCTACTTAATCCTGAATTATACCCCACATCTTTAAAATAAAAAAAATTTAAAAAGAGTTGCCATTTCCCCATTACCTACTAATTTTTAGAAACAAAAAACAAAAAGAAATCATAGTTGATTATTCTTATGGCTCCAATAGTTACCATCTAATTTATACTTAAGTCTGTATTATTTAGTTGCATATTAGAGTATTAAGAATAACCTTAGTGTTATTGATAATTTGCAGATAGTTGAATCTACTTGTTATGGGTTCAGTTGTGTTCCCCAATAGACGATATGTTGAAGTCCTAACCGCCAGAACTTCAGAACGTGATCTTTTTTGGAAACAGAATCTTTGCTGATTTGAACAAGTTGAGGTCATTAGGTTGGACCCTAATCCTGTGTGACTGGTGTTCTTACAAAAGGGGAAATTTGGACACAGACACAGACACACACTGAGGGAAGATGATATGAAAAGACAAAAGAAAGAATGCCACATGGAGATGGAGAATTGGAGTCAGCATCTATCAGAGAAGGAATGCCAAAGACCGTGACAAACCAGCAAAGACTAGGAAGAGGCAAGCAGGGAAACCTACAGGTTCAGAGGAGCCTGGCCCCACCAACACCTTGATTTTGGTCTTTCAGTCTCCAGAACCATGAGACAACACATTGTTGTTGCATTAAGCCAGCTCGTTTTTGGTACTTTGTTACAGCAGCCCTAGCAAACAAATACACTACTAAGTATACCTGCTGACAGTACAACCTGCTGTCATTGACTCCTTGAAATATAGTTTGCTTTTGAAGGACACACTTTATTAATCAAAAGCAAAATTAAGGCAACCACCAGAAAATCCCTCCCCTAAGAGCCTTCTTTAGTGATCTGGTGAAGCCTATGAAAGTCTTTTCGGAATAGTGTTTCTAAATTTACAAAATAAAACACATAGGATTATGAATGAGCCCAATTATACTGAAATGGTTATCAAACTTTTAAAAAAATAACAATTCACGATGCAGCAATATCATGCACTTCATTATAAACACATTAAATACAACTTCTAGTAGAAAGTCTACTAGCAATGCTCAGAATGAAATTTTGAGATATAATAGAAAAATACTAGTGGGCCAGGTGCGGTGGTTCAAGCCTGTAATCCCAGCACTTTGGAAGGCCAAGGTGAGAGGACTGCTTGAGCCTAGGGGTTTGAGACCAGCCTGCGCAACTTGGTGAAACCTCGTCTCTACAATAAATCAAAAAATTAGCCGGGTGTGGTAGCATGTGTCTGTAGTTCTGGCTACTTGGATGGCTAAAGTGGGAGGATCACCTGAGCCTAGCAGGTTGATGCTGGGGTGGCCATGAGCTTGCCACTGCACTCCAGCCTGGGAGTGAAACTCTAACTCAAAAAAAAAAAAAAAAATTGTGAATTCTGTTGTAATAGACACAGCACTGCTTACTCTCTTGCAGTGCCATTTCTACACTTATAATTAAAGAAATACTAAATTTCAGTTACAGGTTAGTGAAAATAATGTAATGATTTCCCTGGCATCTCTAGGAAACCCCTGCATCCATCTGAGAGATAATAGATCCCAGATAAAGAAGCCTTGAAGAGGAAAGAGTCGCTGGTTTTAATCAGAAAATTGTCTCTTCCATTCTGATACAGTTGGCCTGAAGGTGGGATAGCTATGTGGGTGACACTCAACAGTGACCTTGTGGTGTGCCTCCCTGAACTGCAGAGGAAAGCTAAAGACTTCATTTCACACACATCCGTGCAGGCTGGGTTCTGAACGTGATTTGGGATCCATCAGTATTTACATGAGATTCAAAAGAAGAACGCAAGGCAGAGCTGTGAGTCTGCTGTCAAGCCCCAAAGCAGATGTAGTTGGTTTTTTTTGCAGCAGTCCTAGTACGGTGCCAGTGTCCAGTCACTAGGTTTGCAGGGGCCACGAGGCAAGGTACAGGCATCCACACTGTTACGCATCCTAGTAAGTGTGGCGTGGGTCTGGAGCTGGCCTTGTAGCGTCCTGATCACAGCAGTTTCCAGACTGTGGGAGTGGCAGTATAGTTCCTGGTTTCTGATCACAGCAGAGGCAACAGCTCTCTAAGTGGCTGGATTCTGCTTTGTGACTTCAAAGTTGTTACTGACAGTTCACTAATGGGAGTCTGTTTTCGCAATGCTTCCTCCATTTAACGCAATGCCTTGAAATAAATCTCCTCTGCTTTAAATAGCTAGAGTAAATTCTGTTATCTACAGCTGAACTCTGACCCCTCCGACTACAATTTATATTCTTTCCTATAAAGGCCCTGCAGAAACTACTTCTGTTAGATAAGATGCTTTCCGTCTTTTACCAAAAGACTATGCTGCCAACTTCAATAAAAAAAATTTGGGGGGGCAAAATGCTGAACTGCTCACTATTCTTTGAACAAAAATAAACACACTCAATTTTATATCACAGAAAATAGTGCAGAAAATATATGCAATAGTCCAAGAATTTGCTTATGTTCAGTTGGTTATAATTACTTTTTTTTTTTTTTTTTGAGTCAGAGTCTCACTCTGTCACCAAGGCTGGAGTGCTGTGACATGCTCACAGCTATCGCAGCCTAGATCTCCTGGGCTCAGGCGATTCTTCCACATCAGTCTTCCCAGCAGCTGGAACTACAGGTGTGTGCCACCACGTTTTTTGTTTTGTTTTGTTTTGTTTTTTTGACTTGGAGTCTCACTCTGTCACCCAGACTGGAGTGCAGTGGCCGCTTCCGGCCACGGCAGCCTTGACCTGCTGGGCTCCGGCCTGCTGGGCTCTGGCAATCCTTCCGCCTCAGCCTTCCAAGTAACCGGAATTACAGGCATGCGCTACCACGCCCGGCTGATTTTTTTATTTATTGTAGAGACGAGGTCTCACCAGGTTGCCCAGACTGGTCTCAAACCCCTGAGTTCAGGCAATCCTCTCTCCTCAGCCTCCCAAAGTGCTGGGATTACCGTGAACTACCACACCTGATTATAATTACTTGTTAAAGAAACAGTCTTATTATTGCCTAGTGAAGTAAAAGTACCAAATTGCTAAAGTGAAAAATATGCCTAAATTATTTACCGACTTCTTTGTGAGTGTATGAATTGGCATGACCACTATATCATTTGAAGATTAAAAGTAATTTCTTTCTTTATATGGATGGAATTTAATGTGTAACTCTCAAAAGAAGTCAGTTGCTATGTTAGTTTGGAATTCTCAGCCAGGGAGCATCAAGATGAGGGGCTTAGTTGTTCTGCCTTTCTGGAGCTCAAAAACAAAGCCCCAAATCATGTCTTAGAAAAGTTTTATTAACAAAGTGAACTTGCGTTGACCTCACCCGGCACAATGACTCATGCTGGTAATCCCAGCACTTTGGGAGGCTGAGACAGGAGGACTGCTTGAGCCAAGGAGTTTGAGGCTAGCTTAGGCAACATAGCCTGACCTCCTCTGTACAAAAATCAAAAAATTAGCCAGGCGTGATGGCGTCCCCGCAGCCCCAGCTACCCTGGAGGCTGAGGCAGAAGGATCATCTGAGCCCAGGCGGTCGAGGCCACTGCACTCCAGCCTGAATAGTGTGAGATTCCAACTCAAAAAAAAAAAAAACAAAAAGAAAATAGAAAAAAGAAAAGAGAAAAGAGAAACAGAGCATAAAAATGAACTGTGTGCCAAAGGTGTGCAGGTCCTAATGATCATGCTATTCCAAATGAGAACTCACTGAAAGCTCTAGAGTGGATTTAGTCATGCTACTTTCCATATATTCATATTATGAATTTTTGCCTTCTACATTTATATGTAAAAAATTTGTAATTTTTCCGTCCATTTGGTCCACCACAACTCCAGGATAGGCAGATGCTCATCTTTTGGAAGTTAAAACTTTTAATACAGTGACGGTATTTGCATTTTTAATCATTATATAAGACGACTGAGTATGATTTTGCATCTCATCTCTCTGAACAAGTATTTGTAAAGTCTCTGGACAGTGACCCACACCTATCTCAGCAGTGTAAGGTCACATTATCAAAACCCATTTGGCAAACCCCTATAAGGCAGATATGTTTCTTCATTATGTGCAATCCCTTTCACAAACAGAAAACGAACAGCTTCAAATCCAATTTGAGCACAGAAACCAAGCATGAGAAACCCAGACCAGGAACTCGACGGCATCTCGAGGCTGCAGCCCTTTTCTTTAAGAGGGTGACCTCGGAAAATCCCAGTTGACGGTGGCGCTACACTTCGATTTTCTATGCCCTCTGAATGAAAAAGTCTTCCAACTATTGCATATGTTTATCTTTAATACTAGCAAACTTGTAAAAACCACCGACTTTGTGAACTTTTATTTTGAGTTAAAACTAATTTTATGTGAATGATTGTCTTAACATCCATGCAGTTTAAACAAAAAACTTAAGTTTTGTAATCACTTTTTTTTTTTTTAAAACGATGTTTTAGCCCATCGTCTGCACTCTAAGAATACAGGTATTCTCCGGGTTTCCCCAGATCACGGAGAGCACCGGTGGCTCGAGACTGGGGGACCGCAGGGAACTCGAAGGACCCTGGAAGAGGCACGACGCCGCTCCCACCGCCTCCATGTTTTCCAAAGTCCCAGGAGAGTCCAAACAAAGCCCCCGGTCCTCAGCCACGGCGTCCCCGTCCCGGGGCTCCCTGCACCCACCCCTCGCAGTCGGAGGGCCCGGGGCCTGGGTGACGCGGAAAGCAAGAGACTGCGACAGGTCCCCACCGCCCCTCCTCGCCGCAGCCAAAAGGTCTTCCCCAGCCGCGGGTCGGATCTCGCCGCAGCCTGCCCGGCCCGGCCCGGCCCGGCCCGGCCCGCCCCACCTCGGGGCACGCGGAGGGAGGGAAGCCGGGCGGCCGGGCGGGCTCCCGGGCAGGTCGCGGCGCGCGAAACTCACCAGGACCAGCAGCAGGGCGCTCGGGCGTCCCGGGCTCCGCGCCATCGCGCTCG